AAAGAAAATGCCTGCAACAGAACGCCAGAAATATGCTATCTTCCAAAGTCTAAAAGTGATCCGTTAATATCCGAAACTCACCCGAGGCCCCCCGGAACCTCAACCAAACATACCAAAAAGTCCTAAAATACCATACAAACTTAGGCGAGCTCTCAAATCACATCAAAAAAATTCTAAAATCACGAATCACCTTCCAATTCAAACTTAAAAGAACTTGAAACTTTAAAATTCTACAACCGATGCCGAAACCTATCAAACCACGTATGATTGACCCCAAATTTTTCACGCAAGTCATATTCGATATTACGGACCTATTCCAACTTCCGGAATCAGATTCCGACCTCGATATCAAAATTTCCACTACCGGCCCAAAACTCCAAAAATTCGACTTTCGCCATTTCAAGCCTAAATGAGCTGCGGACCTCCAAAACACAATCTGGATACGCCCCTAAACCCAAAATCACCTAACGGAGCTAACGGAACCGACGGAATTCCATTGTGGAGTCATCTTCACACAGTTCCGACTACGGTCCAAATCCTAAGGCTTACGCACTCATTTAGGGACTAAGTGTCCCAAAACACTCCGAAACTCAAAACCAATCATCCCGGCAAGTCACAATACCAAAAATAGATATGGGGAAAGAAGTTAAATAGGGGATCAGAGATATTACTCTCAAAATGACCGGCCGGGTCGTTACACCTTACCTCTCAGTCTATCCGGAGTTCATCCGATTTTCCATGTATCTATGCTTCTAAAGTATTATGCCGACTTATCACATGTGTTAGACTTAAGCACAGTTCAGCTAGATAAGAGCTTGGGTTATGAAGAGGAGCCAGTTGCCATTGTTGATATGCAGGTTCGCCAGTTGAGGTCCAAGAAGGTTACTATGGTAAAAGTTCAGTGGAGGGGCCAACCAGTCGAGGAAGCGACTTGGGAGGCCGAGGAGGACATGAGGAGCATATATCCACACTTATTCAGCAATCTAGGTATAATTCTAAACCTGTTCGAGGACGAACGTTTGTTTAAGAGATGGAGAATGTAACGATCCCACCGGTCATTTTGACTTTTAGAACCCCATTCCCCTAAATAAAACTCCCTGTATGTGCTTTTACTAATTTATGACTTGCGGGGATAGTTGGTTCGGGATTTGAAAGTGTTCGGGTTGAAATCGAAACATTTGGTTTCTTAGTTTGGCTTTAAAAGTCCAAGTTTGACTTCGGTCAAAATTTTGAGAAAACGATCCCGGAATCAGGATTTGACGGTTCCAATAGGTTTGTATGATGATTTTGGACTTGGGCGTATGTTCGAATCGGGTTTCGGACAACCTGGGAGCGTTTCAGCGCTTAACAGTGAAAATAAATCAACTATTTAAAGGTTTAAGGTTCTTAAATTTTGGTTTGGAGTAGGTTTTGGAGAAATTGAGGTCCGTTTAGAATTCCGAGCCTGGTAATAGCTCCGTATGGTGATTTAAGACTTGCACGTAAAATTTGGTGTCATTCCGAGTAGTTTAAGTATGTTTTGGCGCGTTCGGAGTATGTTAGGAGAATTTGAAATTTCTAAGTTGAATCAATTTGGTTTGGGATATGATTCTTAGTTTTGATATTGTTTTACATGTTCCGAAGGTTCGAACGAGTCCGTTTTATAATTTCAAACTTGTTGGTCTGTTCGGACGGTGCCCCGGGGGCCTCGGGTGTTAACCGGACGAGACTCGGATCAATTTTGGACTTTGGAGCAGCAGTTGAAGCTTCTAGCTTCTGCTGCAACCGCACATGCGCTTGGCCAGCCGCAGGTGCGAGCTCGCAGAAGCGAGCCACGAGCCGCAGAAACGGACAAGCCAGGCACGCCCAGGGATCGTAGAAGCGAGATTTTTGGCGTACCTGCGAGCGCGCAGGTGCGAAGCTTGGCGCAGAAGCGGAACATTTCGCAGGTGTGAGGTCTTGGGGCGCAGATGCGGTTGCGGAGAAGCGATCCTTTGTCCGCAGGTGCAGAGCCAGGCCAAGAGGAAAAAATCTTGCACCTGCGAGGCTTTGTCCGCATGTGCGGCTAGCCCTCCGCATGTGCGAAAATGTTGTTTGGCATAATGTATTAAAATCGGGGCTTAGCCATTTTTGAGCCCATTTTCTCCATTCTTGGACGATTTTGGAGCTTTTTGAGAGGGGATTTCAACTAGCAACTTGAAGGTAAGTTAGCTCTACACACTTTGAGTTGTATACATAGATTATGGGTAGATTATAACTTGTAAATTGTGGAAATCAAGGGTTTAGAGAAAAAATCTAGATTTGTATAAAAATGGGATTTTAACCACGAAAATGGTTATGGAATGGGATGAAAATTGTATATTTGAGTTTTTGAGATTATGGGTAACGATTTTCTCAGAATATTTTCGGAATTCGGGAATGTGGGCCCGGGGTGAAAGTTAAAAAATTTACCATTTTAGGTCGGGTAATTTATATAATAGTCTAATTTCGAATTATTGAGCGTGTATTAATTATTTTGTATAACTTTTGGATAGTTTCGAATTTTTCGACATCAAATTGAGATTTTTACGCGATATTGTGATCGGGAAGTGGGCTTTGAGACAAGGTAAGTCTCTTGTATTAATAATTATTGCTAATTGTGGGGCTACGTACGCATGGGATGACGAGAGTCCGTGCGTAGCTACTAATTATGCCATGTTTGGGTAGTTTAGGACTCAAATCATGAATTACTTGTGATAATCGTATTCTTTATTTAATTAAAATACTAAAATTATTTTGTGAATCGTTGGAGGAAATAGTAAAACACCAAAATTTTACATACTTGAATTTTGTACAAATTATTTAATTGTTAATAGAAATTGTACATCCTTATGTGTTAGCCTTACTATAACTTATCATTCTGGAGGTTCATAAGAAAATGTCCTCCTTTTTTATGGAGCGGGCCGAACGCCTCGGCAGTATAGATGGATCTATGGATCGTTACGCACGTCCCTCAGTAGTGTACATGACACTCTGGATCAGGCCGAACGACCTCGGCAGGAATCGTGCCCAATAATAATAATTACACGATACCTTGATATTTTATTACAGCTTGTGAAGCAAATTGATAAATTAAAAATTATTGAAATTTGAGAATAATTAATTCTGCTTGTTAAGGAAATTATTGTTGTTTATATAAATCATGTTTAATTAAATATTTCTATTTTTAATATTATTGACCCGTAGTGAGTGTCAAAGTCGACCTCTCGTCACTACTTCTTCGAGATTAGACTTGATACTTACTGGGTACACGTTGTTTACGTACTCATGCTACATTTGCTGCACTTTTTGTGCAGGACCTGAGACAGGTGCTATAGGTGGACCTACCGGCGTGTACCCATGCTGTTCCGAGGCTTAGTGGTGAGTTGCCTTTCTGAGCCGTTCTGCAGCAACTAGTGCCTCTTCTTGTATTTGTATTCTGTCTATTTTATTTCAGACAATATTTAGAATTTTTGTATAATCTACTAGATGCTCATACACTTGTGACACTAGGTCTTGGCATACACATTAGTATAATTTTGAATTTAGTTATTTTTCTTGGATTTTAATTTATCAGATCTTTCATATTTTCTTAATTTTTGCAAGTACGAAGAGTTTTATTACTCGGATAATTTTCAAAGAAATGAATACATATTTAAATCACTAGATGACTTATCGATCTACGATGTTGGGCGCCATCACGAATTATAAGTGAAATTGGGTCGCGACTGTACGACAATTAATTTAAAAAGTGTAAAGTGTTGTTGTGTATATGTAAACGAGAGAAGTCAGCCATTTTGCTTGAATAAGAAGTTAGCAATGGATAGAGAATCGTTGCTTCATGGCAAATGCTCAATGATTAATGGGTCTACTTGTCACTTGATTAATCCTTGGCATCTTTCTATTTCTCTATACTGATGACAGTGGCAGCGCAACAAGCGACAAGCAACATGGATTATCCTGACATGTCCTTTTCATTTTCCAGTTGTTAAGAGTGAAAATCACGTTTCGTATATATGTATATCAGTTGCTAAACGCCGTTAGAGGGCCACACTCACTCAACATTGATTAGAATATGGCAATTCTGAAATATCCGATTTTGGAAAAGTATTTGTCCACACTTTATAAATATAAAGTAATTTAATTATAAGAGTCAGAAATTAGAGTGAAAATACATACTCTAGTATAAGTATGATTAAGTAAAAGTAATTCGTATGCAAAACACATGTTAGACCCATTCGGTGAGAAGATCATTTGTTTTTTTTTTAATACCTGGATGGTGGACAATTAAGAGTTTGCCTTCTATGATGTATCCAAATAATATACACTATACAGTTAGTTACTATGTTGTAGAGTACTCAATTGTTTATATGAGATTTAGAATTACAATATTTTCTAATTTACATCTCAATCTACATATCAGTTTTTAAATTTTTAAACAAAAATAAAATTATACTAATATTTAGAAAATAGACAAAAATAATAAGAATTACTACTCTACAATTTATGTAGAATTACAAAAATCAAAACATTTATGAAAGAATCATGGTAAATAAAAACTGTATAGTTCCAAAAATAGCAAAATGTCTCCTCCTTTCATTTTCAAATTACTGCTATGTAGTAGAACCAACTATACACGTACGGTAATTATTACGATATCCCAACGCACAGCAAAATTTTCGATACATTTCAAAATTCAAAGTTTCCCACAAAAACGAAACGTTTCCCCCACCGTTACAGTTAACGGCGAAAAAGCTCCCGTTTACTCGCGACTCTCCCATATATAAACTTTCCCTCTTCTCTGCTGCATTTCCCACTACACCACTAAAACCCTCACTGTCCTCTCTCCTACAAAAACACACAGAAAAATCCAAATCACTTCAAATTTCATCAGCAAAAATGCGTGAGATTTTGCACATTCAAGGAGGCCAATGCGGGAACCAAATCGGAGCCAAGTTTTGGGAAGTTATCTGTGCCGAACACGGCATTGATTCCANCCGTGGAAAAATGAGCACCAAGGAAGTTGATGAACAGATGATTAATGTGCAGAACAAGAACTCTTCCTATTTTGTGGAGTGGATCCCTAACAACGTAAAGTCAACAGTATGTGACATTCCTCCAACTGGTCTGAAGATGGCCTCAACTTTCATTGGTAATTCCACCTCAATTCAGGAGATGTTCCGCAGGGTTAGTGAGCAGTTCACAGCTATGTTCCGCAGAAAGGCTTTCTTGCATTGGTACACCGGAGAAGGGATGGATGAAATGGAGTTTACTGAGGCTGAAAGCAACATGAATGATTTAGTTTCTGAGTACCAGCAATATCAAGACGCAACAACTGAGGAGGAAGGTTATGATTATGAAGATGAGGAGGAAGAACATCAAGAAGCTTAAGGAACTCGAGCTGTGAAGTATATTCTGTGCAGTTATGTAGTAATGGCTGCCGAGTTTTCTATTTTTGTTTGGGATATTGGAGTGCTATGCTGTTTGGCCACTGTGGTGGCACAATTACTGATTCCTTTGCATTGTAGTCGGTACTGCTTTATATACCTATTAGTATAGTGAAATCTTATGGAAAACATGTTTAGGTACTTGATTTGAAATATCTTATGGAAGATGGCTTATTTCTCAAGCAATATATGTTTTGTGCTTTAATTTTGACTGATTAGTGTCCATTATCTTGTTAATCAAATTATAAGTGCTAAAATGCAAGTTGAGTTCTGTTGGGATGTGTATTTGACAAGCCCAGCATTTTATTGTTGCTCCACTAATTGTTGGGTATACTTGCTTGGAAAAGCTGGTTATATTAGCTAGAAGGTTGTTACTGCCTACTGTACCTACACTTGCTTAGAAAAGCTTAATTGTATAAAGCTGTGTTAGTGTAACCCATATACATTTCTGTGGTGGCTAGTCATCTCCATTCGAGTCTGCCAATGAAACTTTGTACTCAAATATCATGGTATTGCTGCTTAAGGAGGCAGCAAAGAATTACTGACAAGACAACAAAACCAATTATTCTTAGAAACTGGAGTCTCGAATCTCGATAGGTTGTGTCGTTGGACGGCATACCAAAGAATAGAATATAAAGGGAAAAATGGAGTGAAATTGCACAATCGAGTAAAAAGACCAGAACCAATTCATTGTAAAAATATCTGTGTTTAATAGCCACTTCTACAGAGAAAAGAACTTTTAATAATTTTACCAAAAATAATAACCTACTATTGAAACATAACGCCCCCAAAATACTAGTCTTTTTAGTAACCTGAAAAGAAAAAGACAATCTTTTTAGTAGGTAGACAAACTTAGTTGTGCCACAACTAAATTCCAGAGGCACTAATGTCTAATTGTGATTCTGGGTGTTTTTTAGGTCTAATTCTTGGTTTCTCGTATCAAGTCGCTACCAGCAAAAAGAATGAGTATTTGAGTTATTACTAATACCGTTAATCTGCTTAAGCAATTGTAGAGACCCAAGTATATTTTTAAGCTCCAAACTTGGGCACTTTTGCAGTTGAGATCTGTCCGCGACAAGTCTTCGTTGAATTTTACCAGTTGCAGTTTTTGGAAGAGAATCGGTCATAAACACCTTTTTTGGGACCTTAAAGGCTGCCAGATTTTTCTTGCAGAATCCCGCGACGTCTGCTTCATCTATCTTTGACCCTTCTCGTGGAATAACTGCGCAGTTTATCTGTGAAAATGAATTCAACTAAATGAGACACTAGTAAATATCAACCCCACAAGAGAAATAGACGTCTAACAGAAAATAAAAAGTCCACATCGCTCGTTCGTGAAATGCATATATAGATTGAAACAAACAAACGAAGTCCCTTCATTTATGCAATGAGACAGAATTGGGGTCAGTTTCTTACCTCTTCACCATATTTGTCATCAGGAACCCCGAAAGCAACAGCCTGAGAAATATCAGGATGAGAAACAAGGACCGCATCCACTTCTATAGGTGATATTTTTTCCCCTGAAATTGTAAAATGGAAAATTACACACCAGAAAACAGCTCATGAGGTGGTCCAGCGATTTTAATACATTGGACTTGTCAAATTTATACCAGTCCCAAGATTCATAAGCTTACGACTAACTCTTCTTCCAGAAACCAACTGTTCCATTAGATTAGCTGTAAGATATTTTTTGAGTTTAATTCTTTAAGCATTTTCCTAAATTCTTTTTTTATATTGTTCTGCTGAGATCCCTTAAGATATACTTAGAGTAAATAGTGTTACAAGACAGGCTAATGGAAAAACGTATGTCTGGCTTTTGGAAAAGGACATTATCGAATGGTTGAAAGATTAGAGGTCAATATCATGAGCCAAAAATTGGACAAAATACGAAAATTACAATGGAGAAACGTTCTAGTAAGCTGTTACATCCTGCCTAATAGTAAAAGGGAGGTGCAAGCAAGTTTAATGCCGACTTAATCATAAACTTGGAACTAAAAATAGTCAATAAAATACTACTACTAATATTTCCATACAAATGTACTAGAATATCCTCCCAAAAACAATGACAAGTTCAAGAAAGAACGTCGATGCATTTAATTTCTCTATGTACTTTCTACAATTAAATCGATCAATTAATCAACTTTCTACAATCATCTATTCCGCTCTATTTGAATCTAGTTCATTCTAACACTTTGTTTTATGGATAATATTTTTTAAAATATATTTGGAAAATTCATGGCCAAAAATGATTATTTTAACTCACGTAAAGAATATAGTGCTTTTTTTTTTAGTAGTAAAAAAGAAACAAATCCAAGAAAGCATTTTCAGCCTTGACCAATACTAGTCATTAAACACCAAGACAATCATCATGCATTCAAGTTAAGCTCTTCAATAGAAGATCAAAATCACACTGAATCATTGATTACGAAAAAGAATTTATTACAAAGTATAAATAACATACCTCCACGGTTGATCAATTCCTTGATCCTTCCAACCAAATGCAAATATCCATCAGAGTCCAAGTATCCAACATCTCCAGTATGAAACCAACCAAACTGGAAAGCAGATTTATTAGCCTCAGGATTATTCTTGTACCCTTTAGTAACATTTGGACCCCTAATGCAAATCTCTCCCTTTGAATCAGGCCCTTGTACCACACCATTCTCATCCAATATTGCCATTTCTTGACCCACAGGTTTTCCTACTGACCCTGGCAAGTGTGGACCATTTTCAGGTAATGGATTTGAACACATTAAATGTGTGGCCTCTGTCATTGCATATGCCTCTAAAACAGGTGCACCGAATGCTTCTTCTAGCCTAGATAGTATAGATGGTGCTAGAGCAGCACTGCAACTCCTAATGAATCGGAGTTTCGGGTAAGCAGATTCGGGACTGCTCAAGTGGCGATCCAATAGGATTTGGTGAATAGTAGGCACAGCTGTGTACCATGTGGCGTTGTAATTTTTCATATCTGACCAGAAAGATGAAGCAGAGAATCTCCCAGATGCAGGGAGTGTCACAGATCCTCCAGCACCAAGTGAGCTCAGTAACCCTACAATTACATATGGCAAATAGGCTAATTGCGTCAAACTTGGGGAGGTTAAAATAGGTCCAATCAATAAACAAGTCATAATTCTAACATATTCAAAGTTTGCTTCGATCAAAATGAGTTGGATTAAGATGCGCCAATTAACGTGCCATAATCCTACATTTTCAGCATGATCAACCTCTCATTCTATTTTGTTTTAGTTTTCGTAAAAAGAGGTGAAATCAAATGTCTTTACGAGGTTAAGTTCTTCAAAATGCTCAATCTCCAAATTTGATCTTTTTTCTTAGATTAGAGTTGCATTTTGACTGGTCAAGTTACACTATCTTGATCTCTTTTGACACAATAGTTCAACCCATTGGGTAAAATCAACGTACGGTCATTGACTCAACTCGTTTAAACTTTTGACAGATTGGACTTGTTACCTAAGTTGCTCGGACTCCAAAAATGTTGCCACACCCGTGTCGGATTCTCCAAAAATACACTACTTTTGGAGGATCCGACACGCACCCGACGGCATCTTTCGAGAGTCCGAGCAACATAGCTTGTTACTAAAAAACTGATTGATTTTGTCACATTTACCTGCAATTAATCCATGGACATGAAAGAGTGGCAAAACGATGACTGTAGAGTCGGATTCAGTGAGTTTGTAAACCGATTTGATGTTGTTCACTGATGATACTAAATTGTGTTGTGTCAGGGGAACACCCTTTGGTCTGCTCGTGGTGCCAGAGGTATGGAGGAAAAGTGCAACATCGGACGGTTCATTAACAATCTTAGAAACCGATTCAGAATCTGAGAGCGGATTACTCTGGATGAGAGAGACATTAGAGTCGGAATGGGGCAGAGTCACAGCAATTTGAGGGACATTGAGCTTCGTTGCTGCTGCTTGAGCTGCCTCATTACCTTCCTTTGCAATTAACAACAGTTTGGACTCGGAATCTGATAAATAGAACTCGAATTCTTCGGACGTGTATGCTGAATTTAGTGGCGCTGCCGTGGCTCCAACTCGAATTACAGCCAAAAACATAATCACCAACTGCAAGAAAATTCCAAATATTAATTGTTAATACAATTAGAGACACATTTCTGATTATATCGATCAAATTTAACGTAAAGATAACCACTTTAATTTATAACCAGTTGACAATATGTGTTTATTAAATTATATACATATTTACAGTTCATAAGCTTAAATATATATACCTCAATGGTATTGGGAAAGGTAAGAGCGACGACATCACGGGGCTTAACACCAGCAGCAACAAGTTGAGAAGCGGCATGTTCGATAAGTTCATGAAGCCTTGCATGTGTTACATCGAATTTCCCCGAAACAGATATAGCCCGACGGGTAGGGAATTTTGCAGCAGTATGTTTCAGAAACCCCGTGAGTGTCAAATTACTTTCCATTTTCTTTTTTTAACAAAAGAATCAACCCTTTTGGAGTTGATATATATTACCAGCCACAAGAAATTAAAGAAGAAGATTAAATACTAAGAGAAAAAATGAGTCCAAGGCATATATATATATATATATATATATAGAGTAGCGGCGGCCAGATGCAAAGAAGTAGGGAGGATCTAATGAGTAGCAAAAGCAAAATTCGTTTTGGTGAAGGCGAGAGCAGAGGGTATAGTATGACAAGTGGCAAATTCTTTTTGGAGAGTGCACACACACATTTCCTCGATATTCTCACCTAGGATTACGCTGTGTCCGTTAGAAGAACGATTGTTGTGGAAGTGACGTAAGTAGAAGCAAAATAATTGGGTGAACTGAAGATGAAAGGGAAAGCACACATTTTCATTACAAGCCTGGCTACTCCAAATGTTGCAACGTGAAACTTGTTTAAGACGAAGGACAAAAGATTCAATAAAAGAACCTAATTTCTATGTTGCTTTTTAGTTTTATACTATGCTTTCTAAAAAAAAAAAAATAATAAATTGTTTCAAATATATTGGAAATTCTTTAACTATGAATTTTTTATTTTATTCTTAATGAAATGCTCTTGTAATCATAAAAATACCATGATACCAAATGTTTTATAGGTAATTTTAGAGTTTTAGTATATGTTATGTTGTGAACCAGGTAGAGTCAAATGCTCATAAGGATGCTTACCAAGTTGGCACGAGGGATGATAGCAAGGAGCGCCAAAATGACACTACGCGTAGAAGCACGCGCGTGAGGAAGATTCCAACAAGGCTAACAGATTTCGTAGTGGACAAGGGCTGAACACGTGATTTGAGAATTTGCTGGAAATGAGAGTTAGTTAAATAGTCAGTACCACTAAGGAATAGCCATGCAATATGTGGTGTGAACCTTCTTATTTTCCCATCTCAATATTCTTCTAATTTCTCATCCCCTTCTTCTCAGTCGTTCTAGTTTCCGGTTATTGTTATTTTTCAATTTGAGTCGTTGATGTTTTCTTTCATTGTTACTTAGTTTCCTTATCAATCAATACAATTTAGTGGTGCTGAATTAATACTGCTTCATTGGTGCTTTCATTGAGAGACTATTATGTCGGTTGACTCAAAACTCAAAGCCTCCGATGGCCTGCTCGCATCGTCTTCATCGGATGCAGATATTCGTGCTGCCATGGCTAGCCAGCAGTTGGTGATACATGATCTAGTCACTCAGGTGGCTACTCTCACTACTCAATTGCCGTTACTTGATGTTTTTGTGCAGGACCCAGTGGGTTTTCCTACTGCTTCTTCAAAGGGTTCTTCTCCTCTTCGCCACAAGCCGGTGCCAGTGGAGTTCGATCGTTTTCATGGTGACGTGCCGGAGGCGTGGGTCTTTCAGGCTGATTGTTACTTCGACTTCTATGGTATTATTGAATAGGAGAAACTCACTATTGCCTCGTTCTATCTTGATGGCGAAGCTTTGGAATGGTACATGTGGCTTTACCGGAACAAACAACTCAGCGATTGGATCAGTTTTACCGAGAAATTATGCAGCTGCTTTCGTAAACGCCATGTCCAGTCACCTGTCGGCCGGTTATCAAAGCTCCGCCAGACTTCAACAGTGGCTGAATTTCAGGGTCGTTTTGAGGCTTTGTTGAATGAAACCAATTCGTTGCGGGAGTGGTACTTTGGACCAGGCCATTACTTTGGCCCATATGCATGAACAAAGGATTTTATCGTAAAAGGGGCATGTTCGACCCACTTTTGCCCGCACCCAGCCCATATTACCCACTACTAATCATAACCCGCTTTCACCCAATCCTTCTTCACCCACCTTGCCCGCAGCTCCTTCTCCGGCTCCACCTGCTCAGTTATCTTTCAAACTGTTTACCCGAAAAAAGGTACAGTTAAAATTATATGTAGTTTCTAGACAAGTGAACTAATTTGATCCTGAAATAATATAATAATCAAAGAACTACACAGTACTTAGCCTTGGAATGTAGATGAAATAACAAAGATAGTGATTCCGTGAACATGGTTTTCGAACACAGCAATGATGAGATCAGAAAGCAAGAGAGTGAAATTGTATAAAGCTTTGTATAGAATATAGTATATATTCTTGCCAGAAAATTCGTGTCCTTTACAATGGTAACTGAGCTCACTATTTATAGTTATGCCTAGGAAAAAAGGTCCTAGGATTATACGCTTCTTTAATACCAATTATGAGGGTCATTGATGAAGATATAACGTTGAGTGTAAATGTTAAACTCTTTTTAACGAACCGTCACTCTTAATGCTATAGAATATTCCTTAGTAAATGCTACCGGGCGCAGAGCATTTAATACACATGAACGTTATCCGTTTCGGTGACAAGCGCAATGATTGCGTTCGGTCTTCAGCCATTCTATCTCGGATTCCACGTGTCCTCCTTTTAGTCAGTCACGTGTCATATCATATTTTACCCTATACAGATAGTCCCCCTACTTTTCAGTGACATAACTTTGTATTACTGAGAAGTTGGTAGAAATATCTTTTTGGCAGAAATTACTATAATTCCCTCTGAAGGTCTCTGACGGTTGATTAGACGCACGTCTCTCCGCATTTAATGCCCCGAACATACGTTATCCCATGATTCAACATAACTTTTGCCGATTATCGAGGTAATAATGGCCATGAATTTAGCCGCCAAAATTTTACTTATACGCAACTTTCTTTTCCTTTGCGTTTCACAATTGCTCGAGCTTCTGATTTGCATCCCTGTTTTCCATCCTTTTTCTAATTTTCTTCAAACATAAACTCTTTTACCTTCTTCTTTTCCAATGGCTTCTTCCTCCAAACATGGTGGTTCTACAAAAAATAAGAACAAAACCGAGGATTCCATTCCTCTAACAGTGGATTCCATCATCCCAAGAAGGCTTAGTACTTTGAAGGATTTTGAATTAAAATTTCCTACTGCTAACCCTCGTACATGGGTTTTTAGTAGGTAACCTTCTTCGATTCGTCCTTCCAGTATTCCTGCTGTGAAGGAGGACTACCGCTGTAATGAGTTGGAAATTATTACTCCTGATCTATCGGAGCGAGTAACCCTTCCCAAGGAAGGTTTTACATACTTTTTCACGTATCCCTTTACTTTGGGTGCATTTTCTTTGAGCGGAGAGCTTGATTTCGTGATTGCGGCGTTTTGCCTTCGCTACCGGTATATTTGGCACAGGTAAGTCCTTCAGTGTGGAGGACGATCGCCTGCTTCCGACGCTTGTTCCAAGAAACTAGGGAGGAGATAACCTTAGCTCATGCGATGAATCTCTATTCCCCCAAAATCTTCCGCGGGGGAATGATAAACCTTTGCAAGTGTGGCTACCATGCTTTATTGTCTAGCATGGATGATGACAACGATCGTGAATGGATGGAACGGTTTGTTGCAGTTTCCACCAACGACATTATTCCGACAACAGCTTCATCCTTTTCGGTTGATTGGAACCGCACTCGTAAGTTCTTTGTATAATATTCCTCTTACTAGATATTCTTCTATGGCCATATCATCTTTTCACCCTTCGTATGTTTCAGCATCTCGATGGCTCCCACCAGTGGTGGAAGGTTTGAACCGGTGGGTTCAGAAGATTTTGGATGTCACAATGCCCGAAACTTATTCGTGGAAAGAACTGGCCCTTAAATACGGGCGGAAGGCCAAAATTATGGTAACTCTAATTTACCTTGCCTTCATTTTTGTATATGAAGAACTTGGTTGTACCCTTCTGACTTTGTTCGTGGAATTAGGTGTACCTGCGGGTTCTGTTGTTGTCCCCGAGGAGGACGTTCTAGCTGATCCTGCTGATGCAAGCTGCTTCAGGAAGCACTTACTCGAACAGGTATCTCCGGGCCTGTTTCGGCTGCAAATACTTCTCCACAGAGTCCCCGACCAGAAGATAAACAAATAAAGAGAAGATGCTCCTCCGCGGCCGGGGAAAAGAATAAAAGGGCAAAGGTTGATGCCCCCGGATCATCTCCAGTGGCGATGATGACTGGTCCTCCTTCTGGGCCGGTCGCAGACACCGTAATGATTGATGATATTGAAGAAGGTGTTGATGATGGAGCTTCTTTACACAGAAGGCGGTGATCCTTATCATCTCAACAAGATGCTCGCCCTGTTGAGATAGTTACACCAACTAAAGACGATGTCTCGACACTTCAGGGAGAATTTGATTTGGTAGAATATGCCAACTCCTGTTTTCGGGCCCCAATTGCTGCAACCGGTGCTGCGGGGCTGAGTACCGGGTCCTTTCCGTCTTTGGTTGGCGAGCATCAAACAACCAGCATTGCATTTGATGCAGCTGCTTCTCACTCTTCAACTCCATCAGCTTCATCTCTACCTTCACTAACACCAACAGCTGCTACATTATTTCTATCTTCGTCTACTCTTCTACCAGCGGTTGCTACACCATCTCCATCGGCCGCACCTGACCATGAAGAAGGTGTTCCTCTTCCACAGTCCCCAGCTCATGGGAACTTGGGGAAAAATTATGCTACTCCTTCTGAAGATCCACAAAGGAGGAGGAACATCACTCTTTCGGTCTCTACCGGGTGCAACCTGCTATCGCTGCCAGTGGAGATTGCTAATTACCTGAAGCCTTTGGCTTCGGAAAAGGTTTGGGAAAAGATTCAGACACTCTCGGGAGAGTGTTTGTTGAACAATGCTATGCATAATGCCGCAGCAGTACGTTCCTTGCTTCCTCTATTATTTCTTCTACTTTGAAGGAATGTATTCTAAATTTTACCTCTTCTTATTTTATAGGCCAACTTTCTTGCTTCTGAGGGCCTTCAAAGGTTGATTCGTGAGAAGGAAGAACTTACTTCTGAACTGGATCAACTTTTGGCGGAACGGGACCAGACTGTTCTTCGCCTCTCGGAACTGGAAACCAGGGCAACTGAGGCCGTTATTTTGGAGGCTTGTTTGCAGCAAAGCGAGCAAGAAGTGGTAACCCTTAGCCAAGAAATTGGGCCGCTGAGGGTTAATTTTGATGAGGCCAAGGCCAAATGGGCAGAAGTCCAGAATGCCGTTCTTGCTGCAGCCGACCATGAGGCTGCCTCCGCTGAAAGAGTGATTAACTTGGAGGCAGCCTTGAACTCCAAAAGTGAAGAGCTTGCTGATACAGAGGTGAAACATGGCCAGCTAGAAGAGAAGTACAGGAAAACCATTGAGCATAATAGGCTCTTTAGTTCAACTGTCCGCGAGCTCCACGTCAGCCTTAAATCTGCTAGATCCACCTGGGAAAACCTTTCCACCGTGGTTACTCAACTCAAAGAAGAACTCAAGCGCCGAGCGGCTTCCCTCATTGTTGGAAAAACTTATTCCATGTATAG